TGATCCTAGCCTTCGTTCATCGGAATGGTAAATACTCCCTAATTATACAATTGAAGATATATTTTGTTTTCTCACAAGTTTTGTTAATTGCAGGTTAGTTCAATAGTTATTTCTATTTGAAAAATGGAGGTAAGTATGCTGTTAATACCAGTCAGTCACTTCCTTAGGTTATCTGAAGAAATGCTTGCATTTTACTTTGATGGCTTTATTCAATGCATGCACGTAGCATAAGATAAATACATCATGCTTTATAAGATTCTTTCATCTATCATCTTGCAAATATTAAGCAAAAGGGACAAGTGACCGTTTGAAGGGAGTGCTGCTTCAGAGAGGTGATGATGGTAATTAGAAGAATTATCTCAACTGCTTGCAAGTTTCTTTCCACAGTGCATTTTAGGGTGAGGTTTTTTCTGCTTGTTCCCCCTTTTAATTTTTCTTGATGACTTTTTACAGCCAAGTCTGTGATTTGAATTAAGGTCTTTTAATAACCTTAGATACAGTGCTTTTGCTTCCTTTTACAGCAACATTAACTGAAGGTGTAGGATTGTCCACAGACAGGTGGGATGGATCTGGCAAAAGACCATTCTGCCAATTTCTGGCTACCCTGAAAGTCTAAAGCTTGACAAGAGAGAGCAATAGACAGCGCTCATTAAAAAGGTTACTTCAGATTTGGCACAAAAGGGGAAATGCCTCTGGAATTCTTTTTGTCCTCAGTGTTTCGTTAGCTTTCCTCCCTCAAGGGAAAAAAAGCCACTGTATCTGAAAGCTTTCCCTTCAGCTGGCTGCTAGCCATTAATCCTTTTGTGTTTGCCAGCTCAATAGTGCACACTGCTTGTTCTGGTTTTCACTCCTTTCCCAGTTTTTCCTTCCCCTAAGAGCCAACTGCCTTTTTTGTCCAACTCTATCTTTTGTCAGGATGGAGATCATCAGCATTTGGTGGGAATTTAGGTCAGATAAAGGTGAAGTTTTCTTGTAGCCTGTGAACATGCTTTCTCTTTTGTTTTTTTGTGTGTGTGAAATGCAGCGTTTGATGTATATCACTTCTTGAAATTTAACAGGGAAAAGGGGAAAAAAATTAATCAGCTTTCATTTAAGTCCTCATTTTATAATCTTTTCCTCCAGTCAGTAGCATTTGGCATTTTTTGCTTTCTGCCACTCCATATGTTGTTAACACAAAATTCACATACTGGTTTCAGATGTAATATATTAAGTAATTTCTGTAGAAGACTAATTTTTATTTTCACTAGAAAGATTGCTGTAGTAACAGAAAGAAAGTGATGACCTTTCAGGCTGTCAGAATTTTTCTTGTCAGCATTTTTTACTTTTCAGCTTTTTAGAATGGTTTAAAGTCAAGTTTGGTTGGTTGTTTTTTTTTTTCCTTTGAAAAACAGGTGCTGCTTTCATGTTCCCATGTATTCCATAAAGTGAGTACATTTTTATATAACTATTCAAGCATATAATACAGGAGTATTTGAATTAAACTACTTAAGTTAATATCTTAATGAATTAAATATAATCAACTTGAAAAGTAATTTTTATTCCAGATTTTTACGGTAAGAAATATAATTTAAGGCTATTTCATGATAAAGCACTTCATTTTATTACCTTTTTTAAAACCATATGGGAAAACATAGTTTGCAACTGAGCTAAACATTTGTATACTAAGCAGGAATAGTTTAATTCATGAAATTTCATGCGACTATATGGAGATTTACAAAATTCTCTTAACATTTTAATTATAAAAATATGCATCTTGTAGCTTGTTCATGGATTGATGAATAAATTGTTTTTACATTCAGTAATCTATCCTGTTTCTTTTGTTCCAATGCAATGAAATATATTGTAAGTAATTGCAATTATTTTTTCAGTCATGCCTGAAAGCCTTTGAGAAATTTACAGGGAAAAAATCTTGTCCTATGTGTAGAAAAGAGCAGTATCAGACCAGAGTAATACATGATGGGGCACGCTTGTTTAAAGTAAAGTGCGCTATTAGGTAAGCCTTACTTCTGCTACAGGTATTGTCACTGGACAATAGTTATTCCTAAATAATGCTCCAAATATGTTAAGATTTTAACATAAGAAGAAATTAGAATGAATGCGCGACAAAAGTTGAAAAAAATGCATAAAACTGTTTCCTATAAATAGTAAAATTATATAAATTTGAGCTTCCTCCTCTTAAACAAAATTGTGTCTTACAGAATTCAAGCTTCCTGGAGGGGCTATATTGTTAGAAAATGGTATAAAAACTTGAGAAGAACAGTGCCTCCTAAAGATAGCAAATTAAGGAAGCAATTCTTTGAGAAAAAGGTATGTCACGTTTGCTTCTTTGGTCTGATTCAGCTCCCTTAAATCAAAACTCCTGAATATCAGCTCTCTACCTCTTCTTTTATTCCTTCTTACTCATATCAAGCAGGCACCAGTGGAGGCAGTAGGTTGTTTTGTTAGTGTATTCGTTCCATCCTCTTTACAATGTAGAAGTAAGTAAGGAAAATAATTTAAATACTTAATTTTAAGGCCTGCCTTTTGCCTGGGCAGTGAGGCTCTGTGTATTTTCCTTCTCTTTTTGATAAATCATAGTAATCTGTTTTCCTATAGAATTATATGAAGGGATTATAGTAAGGGGAGAAACAAGTAAAGCCATAAACAATCATAACTTCTTTTCACTGTCGTCATTCTTACTGGACGCTGAACTGGATAGTTCCATTCCATAGCTTTGCCCTTCTCTAACTTCTGCTCAGATGCAAGTCAGATTGTAATAAATTGGGGTCCTGACCCCACACAAATGAGGCCAAATGACATCCAAGCATTTTGCAATGACCCTACTTGCCTTTAAGCGCACAGCTGCTGCAGAGTCCCTGTGCAGTCCTCCAGTCCTCCTTTGCAACTTCTAGTCTTCCCTCAGTTTAGTAACAACTAGCCCAGCTCAGATTTTCAGTCACAAAAACTGCTCTGACACATCCTCAGCAATTACCGAACCTTCTCTCAGGGAGCCAGGGAAACTGCCATCTTCCAGCCCAGGTTACCGAGCAGCCTGGCTAACGAAGATTAGCAAAGCTGCACAAGACAGCCATTTAAATGTAGCTAGTGCGTGCAGCTGGGAGAATACTCTTTCCAAGTTGTGAGCTAAATCAATGGTAGGTTTAGACCAATGCTTAAATCAGTTGTTTGGTTTTCTTCCATATCTTGGGGGGGGGGGGCGGAATCTTAAAAAAAATCTAGAAACTAATCTGCTTTAGTTAAACAGAAGAGTACTTGCAGAAAAAGGCTTGTTACCATCTGTCATTATTTCTGATGCTTACTTGGTTGTATCCCGTTAGAGGAGAGCTTTGGATGCAAATCATTTGTGTACAATAGTGAATTTGGTACCCTAGAGGTGGTCTTGCAGACTGCCGCAACAAAACTGGTACCACTGTTCTGCTTGTGTGGTGACAGTGGAGACAGAGGAAATACTGTTCTCAGCCTTACACTGAGACAGCTTGCTGGTTGCCTTTATAACCAATGCAAAGTCCTTCACTGTAACACAGAAAATGAATGTGGCAGTAACTGAAGAAAGCTAATGTTACACATGAAAGTGTTCAAACAGGCAAGTTCAGAAGAAGTGGATTGTGTCTGTCCTCAAGTAGCACGATGAGAACTGACACAAACACTCGGATGTTTCTTCATGGGAGGCTAGGGAAACAGTCGTATGCCGCTTTCCCAATAAGGTGGTCAGTTTGCTGTGGGCTCAAGATACTATGCTTAGCTATAAACAGGGTCTCAGTAAAGGGAAGTTGAAGGTGGCTTCTAAATATGCTGAAAGCTGCAGCTGAGTGTCATTTGTTAAAATTTTTCTTGCTGAACTTCAGATGGCTGCAGTAGCAGTCTACCAAGATACTTATACTGGGCTAGTTTTTGGGGCCCCTATCTTAGATACCTGTTTGAGGCAGAAGCAGCCTGGTAGACTGCCCATGGTTCATCACATAGGTATAAGCCATGGGAAGGTTTTCATTTAACATTGACTTCCTCATGCTGCGGCTATATACGGAAACTTTCTCATATGTAACACTTCAGGATTTTGCAGGGAACAAAATGAGCACTACTTTATAAATTTATTCTTAATAGAATGTGAAAAAGTCATCTTACATGGATTAGCCAGGTTTAAATTAATTCACTACCAATTATGATTAAAGGATATATACTTATTTTTCTTAGCAGCTTTCGAGTGGGAATTGTAGATGATTTTTTTCCTGCTGCTAGCTCTTATAAATTGTTGGTTAATGAAAATAACATTTTTTTCAAGGAGATATCCATTTCCTAAAAAGCTTTTCTAAAATAAGTTTTGCCTCTCAAACTTGTGCTGTGCTTTTAAAATGTCACTAAACATTAGCATAATCAAAAAGCATCACAATTGAATTTTTTAATAACCCTACCTCCTCTGGAAGGATCACAAAGGTCAACCGTCAAGTTTCATACACTTAAGTAAATATCACAAAATCAAAACCAAGGTCTGAAATATTACTTGTTTCAGGGTGCTACAGTAGCCCTTCTCACACCTTTCATTAAAATTTTTAATAATCTAGATCAAAGGAGATAAAGGTCACTGAAACCAAAGTAGGCTACTTCTTAGCACTACTATACACAGAAAGTAGGGTGTTGCTTCAGCATGTTAGGTAGTGAATTTCTTTGATCTTACCTATAAATGTCACTTTTGTATGTCATTTAAGTGTGGTATAGTCTTATTGGTGCAATTAAATCTTTTCAAATGCATTACACTATCTCTAGCTTTGCTAAAAATCTTGCCATTGTTTAGGAAGCGAGGTAAGTGATTGTGAAATGATGTAGTTGACTTCAGTTTCCTCCTTCCCCCTCCACATGATTTCTCCCAACAATTTTAATTTAAATCTCACCAAACAGTATAATGGTCTTGGAATTTGTTTAGTCATTTGACTTCCTTTATGACATGGAGATGGTAAACATTCTGTTGCTAACTTCAAGTGGCTCCAAGCAGCAAAACTAGGAGGATATTAAACCAGTAAAAGCTTATCAACTGATTCATTGATATGCTGTAAATTCCAGCCTTTTCATTTTACTTTTGAGGGTTGCCATAAGTCAACACATTAGTAAGCAATTTGCTGACATTGGATCACTTAAAAAGGCTTCCCTGTGGACAAAGTTCACATCAGTACTTTGTTTCATCGTTTTATTTTGTCAGTCTTGTGCTGCTGTACAGATGACTGATGTAGTTTTGCATGCTGATGGAGTGTTTCAAATACTCAGTTTATGCCATTCTATTCAAATTTTAAGAAGCCACAGACATCAAATATAGAGATACGATATTTTCAGAAAGAAATTCAATTAATCCATTTCAGTTGTTCTGGGGAAAAAAGGTTATTCAGTATTATGCATTAAAACAGCAGGATTTAATATTTAAATCCTCAAACATCTTCAGCATTTTGTGTAATTTGTTAGTGTTATTTCCTTTCTGTTCACAGTGAGATTTCACACTGATCCACCAGCGAGCATAAATTGGGGGGTAAATTTCAGTTACAGGTTTTTTTTCTTCCCAACCTTAGACTTTGCCGATTGATGGATATGGGTTGGGTCATGTCATTCTGCAGAAAATGCAGAAGTAGCTCAAAGCAGATAGTATCTTAGCAGCAGGGGAACTTAACAGATCACTATCTCAGGCAGGAGAAGCGTTTCCCTCTCTATTTGTTACAGTTTCTGCTCAAGGAGGCTCACGAGAGGACTTTCAGGATCACTAGTGAAAGAGAAGGGGAAGAGAAAGATAAGTGCAAGGGAATAAACGGAGGGAAAAAGGTACAAGCAGCACAGGCGCAGACAGAGGAAGCACTGCTTGCTTAGTGCAGCCCTGGCCACGCTCTGTTCCTGCTTTCAGCCCTCCTTGGTCAGTTTTCCTCAGCAGCCTGTCTAGTCACAGTGTAGCTCACAAAACTCACCACAGAGCAGCTGAGTTGCTTTCACATTCACAAAAATAGACACTGGATAAAGGCAGAGTTAAAATGTGGTTGCTTTTCCTCATATTTTGGGTCCAGAGAGACTACTGGAAACCATTGTCACAGCTGCTCTAGCTTTTTATTACATCCCCTGAGTTTTCTTATGAAAACAGTTAGGTCTGTTCAAGTTTGATACTGATATAAATATAAATAAATATAAAGACAAAGAATAAATCAGGACCAAACGTCTTTTCAAATGGATCAACCTTGTTGTTAAACAGAAACCATGAATTTATATAAGGTTTAGGTGTGATCTTACCCTCTTCTTCCTGAAGTCAGATTTTAAAGTGACATCAGTAAGAGCAGTTAAAATTACAGTGTGGAGTAGATTCAGTTCTAGAACCAAGGTAACAACAGTTCAGATAAAACTATAGGGCTCTTATTGCTTAATTAAATACATAATCACATTAAAATATTAAAGACACAACCTGATTAAAGCATAGTGTATTAGTATTTCATGTCTCATTCAGGAAGCCCACAGTGTCATCCTTGGGGCTTGTTTGGAGACCACAAAGTGTAAACATTGAAGGAGGCCTGTGGTGGGATTCTAGGGGGTTTATTTTTGTTTTACACACACCACTGGAGGTCAGTGTGCATGTTTGCATGGGACAGAATCAGATTTTTTTTTCTTTCTTGTCAGTGAACAGTCATGAGTGGAGCAGAAGATCATCCATCTGCTCTTTGCTAGGAACCAAATTCTCTCAGAGTACAGAAGGAGCTGCTGCTTTTCCTGTCACATTGTGATTTAAATATGTACGCTGTACAAGGGGTCTCAGGATTATTTTTTTAAGTTACATTAAGTTAGTACATCAGCATCAACCAACACGGTAACTAAATCTGGTTTGTACTGACAAATGGATACATCCTTTCACTATCCCGTTGTGTTAGGGATCATTCAGAAATAGAGTAAGTCATAATTGGTGTTAGTAGCAGTGAGTCAGACCATAAAATAAAAAGAATACACAGGATCAAATCTAACATCAAGAAGCAAACAAATGGTGAGAACCATCACATAAGGCAAGTTCCCTTACCTGGACACTTCCAGTGTTTGTCTCTAAAGTCTTTACTGAGAAACATTATGTGTTTCACTGGAAAACGCTTTCATACTTGCACAGTATATGAACATAATTTAAAAAAACCCAACCCAAACATTAACTGATGAGTTTTTTTTATAGTTTTAGAAGGAAATTTAGGAAATTCAAAGTTTAAATGAAATCTTAGAATGTTAAGTGAGCTTTTCAGATAGGGTTTTTTTTGGGGGGGGAGGGGTCTGAGATTTGGGCTCTTGATTCCTTTGGTTCTAGAAAAGTTCACTTTGCCTATCCTGATACGTGCTGTAAAGGGTCACTTTAGCAGTTGTAAGGGAGCACACGTCCTGGTAGAGAAAAGCTACCAAAAAAAGTGAAATGAAACAATAGAAAAGTGTTTGGGCACCATCAGGCTTGTCCAACCTTGACAACCCTTCTGCCACTTCGCATCCCCCTTCCCATCCCATCCTCCCTGAAAAGATGGCTCCCTGGTTTCCTGTCAACTTCTCACTCACTTGCACGGTCATGGTACAGGTGTTGAAATGTCCGTTAAAACCTTCTTGTCACAAAAGCCAAGTCTGAGACATATGCGACTCCCTACAAAAGTGTCAGATACCATGGTAACAATGAGAGGAAGTGGCCACAGTGAGATGGGATTGCGCTCAAGGAGATGACTCAGTTTAAGAAAAGCGTTCATTGCTTTTGAGTATTTATTCTGCTGAGCACTTTTAGCTATGATGACCTTAGGCCTGCGTGCAATGTGCAGAAACATATTCAAGGCAGTAGGTCATAAAAGTCTATGCCAGGGACAAGGCCCGAAATGTTCTTCTCTCAGTGGTTATCGTGCCTTTAACTAACCCCACAGCAGATGCACTCGTTTCCCATCAAATGCCCAATGCTCAGCCAAGTTCTACGCTTCCTTTCTCCAACACAGCTGTTCCTCCACACTGCACCCACATGGGCTACGAACAGCACATCATCTGTCTTGGGAGAGCTCAGTGATGAAAGTCCTGGGTTTTCTCTGAAGGATAATGGTCTATCAGTGGAGTCTGGGGACCTGATGTTTTTAACCTCAAAATCAGCACCAGACACCAGCTGCAAATGGCAACGAGATTCTGTAGATCACACAACTCTTCAGGCCCACTCGTCCAGCTGCTCACAATTCATCCACATACCTCTAAGTAACTCCAGTTGATTTTCTTTTCAGGTTCAACAGATCAGCAGTCGACTGTTGAGCTCTTACGACATCAACCTAGATGAATTTTTTTCTGAGATAGATTCTTCTCTAGCTGCAAGTCGAGATGTGTTTCAGCAGTTGGAAGGAAAAGAAATATTACTAAGTGAAACTGACTGGGAGAAGATCCAGATACAGGTTGGTTGGTGCTTCCCCCCCACTTTTTTTTTTTTTAAAGTAGCTGTGCATTTATAAGCTCTTCTTTTGAGGCATGGCAGTCTTTTCAGCACAATTGAGTGTTTTCTGTTTTCTTAAATTTTGGTCCATCTGTTCCAAATCAGAAACATTAAAATGTTTTTACAGTTCGGTGATTTACCTCAGGAGCATCTCTCTCTTCCACTCAGAGCCTAAAGACGCTGTAGGCAAAATTAAGAACCAACACGTCAAGTTTCTCAAAATACATTACAATTATAAAATCTGACCATTTGAATTAGCATATTGCTGATATATTTACCTTCCATTGTTTTAACACAGGTCTGTTTGTTTTTACTCAGGCATTTCGGCAAGAGATATGTGACTGTCCTATCTGTATCGTGCCTCTCAGTCCTGCAGTGCATCCTGTCTGTCTCTCTCCTGGAAACGGCAACGACTTGTCACGGCAGACTGTTCTGCTTTCTTGTTCGCATTTGTTTCATCATACTTGTCTTGAAGCATTTGAAGAATTTTCCTTGGGAGAGCAACATATTTGTCCTTTGTGTTGCTCGTATTATCGAAAGAAGATCCTTAAATGGGGATAAGTGTAGCTGATAATGAACTACCTGGTAGAACGTAGCTGACAACACATGCACTTTTAATTGGGCCTTTTCAGGTCCAGAGCTTCCAAGAACAAACTATTTTGTATCAATAACAGTACTGGCCTCATATTTAGAGAAATAAACTTTAGAAGGGTGCCGTTGCTTCCTTTCATATTCAGTTTCACCTTTGGCCTTCCAGCATTTTTATTCTCCCCACGCCTCCCCCAGTCACTCCCACCTTCCTCCATTTTCATCTCCCTTTCCCCAACAAGGGCACAGTTGTTTCGGGCGCTGTGTTCATTCAGCAATACCCCGCTATGTCCCTCACCAGGTTTTTCCACCCGAGTTGTTGCAGCACAGGTTCCCACCCACAAGGGCTGCCACTGCTGCAACTGGTAGTTGCTGCAAGAAACACTTTTCCTTCAGAATCCCGGCTGCTGCTGTGAGAAGGACCCTGACCAATTCCAGATAGCTGTTGGTGGGTAAGAGCAGCCCTCAATGATGCAGGATCGTTGCAGAACTTAGAATCATAGAATGGTTTGGGTTG